TCGGTCTGACTCTTAGATACACGCCACGTAAACCAAGCCTTCCGCTTTGCTTGCAGAATACGTTGCGTGCCTCTCTTCAACCATGACGTCTTTCTCTTAGGCTGTGTTGTGACTAAAGGGACGGTATCCGAGATTGCTGTATGGATAATCTTTTTTACCACTTCCCAGTGTTCATCCACAGATAGGTCGTCCCATGCTAAGGGCCAGTCTGCGTCGGACAAGAGCCTCCGCATTTCAGCATAGTCAGCCTTGCTGTAGCACAGACATGGTCGCGTAACATCCCATTGCAAACGCTCACGGAGGACAAGATCGAAACCTATGACTGCATGGTCACTGCTTCCCAGAGGAGTCATGATCTGGACCTTTTCGACGAGTAGCTGGTCACTAGTTAGAATATAATCTAGTTTTGATGACTTTCCACTAGGGCCCCACCTAGTGTCGTCTCCAACATTCTCAGTCAGTCCCGTGTTTCGAATAGTTTGCAGTAGGTTTCGGCCAAATTTTCCCTTAGCACACCCGGAGCCGAGGTTCAGTGATGGAGCATTGAAATCTCCAGCTATGGTGATTTGGTCGTAGCCCAAATCTCGTATTCCTGTGATAGTGCTGAGCAGTAGCTGATTGTGCTCTGCCCCACAGGTGGGAGATCGGTAGATGCCACCCAGTAAGTGCTTGGTGTGGCCTACGGTGAAATGACACCATATGGAGTCTGGGAGTTCGATAAGTGGTGGGTCCGTTGCGCGCACACATTTAAGTTGCCTATCAAAGTATATAGCAACTCCCCCTCCTTCCTTATTATCCCTGTCTCTTCTGACCAGTACCATATCACCTATACTGATTTCATTGTCGGCGATAGTGGGGTTTAGCCACGTTTCAGTAAGAATGATTATTTTCAGTTGAAGGTGTGCTTGGAGATTTCGGAGTTCACCTACTTTCCCTCTCAGCCCCCTCACATTGCTATATAGGCAACTGACAGTGAGTCTAACAACCTCAGAGTGTTGTGGGGTAGTTGACGTGAAACCGTCTGCTGGTGGGGGACTTGATGTTGGAACTAGTTGGCCGATTCCGATAGAACCGGCCCGTTGTAGTTTTTTTCAATGGATTTAGGCAGGACACTTGGGAGACACAGACTATTATTCTCAGAGCTGCATCGCTCTAGTGTCACCGAAGCTTGGGGTCGTATTAAAGCCTCAGTTTGCTGCCTCCTTATATTTCTGGGTCTGCTTTCACAGCATCGGATGTGTCCTCCAATTTTTCCCTTGGTCTCATACCACCGTTGAAGTGATATGGACAACTGCTCCGGGGAGTTGAATGTGACACACAGCAGCTTTGGAGAGTTAATCAATGTTAGATGAGCGGGACGAGGTAGTCGGAAAATGGAGATGGCTCCAGAAGCGCCAGGGGCCATCTGAGATGACAGCCATCTCCATTGTTGTACGTCGTGCATGTGTTTTTCACAAGCAGTGCCGGTTTCCAGCTCCGGAACACCGTGTACCACCATAGAGGTGGAAGGCATCAGTTCCGGTGACTCCCTCGCCATATTTCTGACGGCCCATGGTCTATCTTGCCGCGCTCTTATGTTAGAACTTCTGTCCAGGGCTAGTACCTGAGCCATTAACAGTACTTTTTCGGCCTCTTCGGCAGAGTCCAGTGTAACCCGTAATGGGGGTGGCTTACCCTGTGTGGACACCCCTGTACAGTCTGCACAGTTTTGCTGAACTAATGTTCAGACCTAGTTTGCCGCACAGGTTGGACCACTGTTCCTGATCAAACAGGGCCCGTTGTTCGAGCAAGCTATCCGTGCTCACAGGTACGTTAAAGAGGATGAGAGAGTTAGACCGACTACCCTCAGACTTAGGTTTTGCCTTCGGCTTCTTGCAGTCCTTTGCATCATTAGCAACATTAGGCTTCATCGGTACCTGGACAGCCTTTTTTGTGTTGCCAGGCTTGCTAGTGGATGCAAGTGGTGCCTTTGTAATTTTGCCCTCCCCTGATGTGGATGGAACCTTGCTAATCTTCACCTTGTGAGAATTGGCATTTCCAGTCAGTAGGGCTGGTGTGTCCTTCTTTAAGTCTTTGACCAGTTTCGGCAGTGCGAGTTTAGCAGGGGGGAGCTGCATGATACTGTGTTGGGGCACAAGAGCGTGTTATTTCTGCTATCCGCAGACACGCTTTGTGGGACTATGCCAGGGCGACAAAGTGGACACACGTACCAAAACCATGGGCATGGGTTATTTCTCATAAACTCATAGTATGCTTTCGGTACTTCTTTGTCACAACGGCAGTGCACCCATCGTTTGCAAAAATTACATTCAAACGCTGAATCAGTTTTAGAAACTGTGATGCTGCACGCCTGGCATTCATCCCCTTTCCTTGATGACGCCTTCGAGGTCTTATGACGTCTTGAACGTTTCCTTTTAGGCTTGATGTGTTTCACACACTGGCCTACAGTTGATGCAGGTGTAGAATTCTGTCCTTCTGGTATTGCCTGTGCCGTTTCAGTACTAGACTGTGGCAATGCAGGCGTTGTATCAGGGCAGACTAAAGCTACACGAGTCTTTAGGATCGGTATGCGGGAAGGGGTTGAAATCCCTGGATTTTTTCCTTCCCTGGCTGAAGCCCTTGTGACTACAGAGTACGGTATTCTAGTGGCTTTTTTAAGGCTGCTTTCAACAACCATATTAACAATCACTATAAATTATGCTATGTACGTCTAAGAGAGCAACAGTTTCTAACCAAAAGAGCAAGAATAAGACTGAAAAAGTATAAGGCAAGGAAAAGAAAAGGTTTTCGACTTTACCTAGTACTTTCTGAATGATCGGCTTCACGGCAATCACGTGGTAGACCAACAAGTCTTGTTTCTCTGAACGAGTGAGGAAGATGCTGCTACAAAAGTAGCACCTGAAGCTTTGGCAGTAGTTCGAGACAGCTGGACTTACCACACAGAGATTTACTATGTAAGTAATGGTTGAATTAAATTCACCGGCTAGGAAGATCAGGTTTCCCAAACGGATAATTCACAGAATTGGTATTTTCCGGTTGGAGAGGAAAAAGCACGTCGCATTCAAGGAGCGCGCGTCATTGAGGGGATATGCAATAAAGTCGCTCTGATAATCAGGGTCCCTTGAACATCTTTTATTGGTTTCATCTGTGTTGATCTCTTACTGGATAGACGCCTGGTTATCTGATATAATATTCCGAAGTCTCTTTTACCTGCAACCTGCCTGTTCTACTATACTTACCGGCCAGTATGTCGTAGAATTGCCTCTTGTCTTTCCTAGCACTCTTCTTCGAACATTTATTCAGCACAGTGCATATTGAACTCAGCTTCTGTCGCTCATATGTGCCTTGAGTAGTCGTCATTCTTTCTTCAATCTCCTTTCTCCTATACGCTTCCAGGTGTCTGTCGACATCCATTCCTTGTCTTGCCTCTTGCTTCTTCCTAAAACAGTTGTGCGCGTTTCGTTGGACATCAAATTCAGAGAGTTCCAATGTCCTTTCAAATAGGTTTCTTCAGTGATGCTATGCAGTGTCTTTGACGTTTCTCTGAGAACTGCAGTGAAATGGGTTTTATAGTTTCGTGTTTCAATTTCTGAATGTTGAACTTAAAAATAGTGGTCTGTTTCCAGTCGTTTTGAACCCGAATCCTCTCCCATTCTCGGCTCTGTGTCCAGCAGTCCGTCTGTCTACTTTCTTGAGTTAGATTGAGATGAAGTCCATGTGATTTTCTGTGTGTCTGTCAGGTGGAATTCATGTTGCCTTGTGTATATCCTTGTGTTTGTATACGCCACCTGCGATCACCAGATGACTGAAGGTGCAGACGTCTGCGAAGAATAGCCATTTGGGATCCTGTCGATTGCTAATTGCGACTGTCTATAGAAATCTTCCATCTCTCGTTCTGAGTTGTTTTTAGAAGCGTAGCGAGGCATAATTGTAACCTTCCCTCCTTTTGAGTGGATTCTTGATGTCTTTATACTGGAGGAGATTGGTTTCTTCTGGGTAAATCCTTTGGTTGCTGTTGGTAACATCATGATAACCATTCTCTCAGCATGCTCGTGGTTGTCGACTTGGTTGCAGGAGTAGATTACTGACTATCCACTTGACGATTTCGTTTGTCCACTTTCATCCTACCTGCTCTAACAGGTTTCTAGTACTTCTGTCTCGTGTCCTCTCATTTCTTTAACAACCTGAGCAGCCTTCTGAGCTTCGCACATTTTACGAACATTCATGCCCCCAATTTTATTTTTGCTTTCATCGACAGAAGACACATCGGCTGACTGGTCTTCTGAAGGCTTTCACTAAACCGTATCATTTGTCCCCCCGACTCCAACGAAAAACAATTTTCTAGAATTATGTTTTGTATTTTTAACGTTGTTGTTTCGCGCTGAGGTTTCTGTAGCAGTTTGATTAGTTTTCCGGGGTAGGGGCACTAGTCCTATGCCCAACTTTTGCTCGTTTTCCGGTCTTGGAACAGGTTTAAAAGCTAGCCATCTAGTGAACTAGGCGAGACTGAACGTAGTACAGCACACTGTCATATGACGTAGATGTTCTTTCGCGCCACCAGTATGTTCGTGTGAACCTGATCCATATATATATATATATATATATATATATATATATACATATATATGATCCAGACAGGATATTTTTGACTTCGTCGAATGTCTCTTAAGGCTATTTTTCAACTGCATTCGGACGTTTGTCCATTGAGGGGCGATTCAGATACATTCACTTTGTTGCTTGGATGTCTAAAAAGCGCGTTATAGCAATTTGTGATAGGTTTTTTTCTCTGGTCGAAGTTAGAGGTATTCGATGAACATGATTCAGATATCTATAGATTAGTTTTGCCTCGAAACTACCACGAGGATAAGTTACAGAGGAGAGAATTCAACCAATCCGCCATTCATAACGCGCATACCAGTAGGTGTTACTGCCAGTTGTTTAACTTCGTATGTGACTAGTCAGAGTGGTGATTCGAATCTGAGCTGATCACTACTGCAGGGATGCTTCCATCAGCAAAAGGTATGTTTTTGGACTCACTCCCTTGTGTGATAAGTGTTTTGTAGCGCGGATCTTAATAGTTTTTCTTTGTAGCCAGAGAATGGCAACAGCTTCAATCGAAAAAGTTCTCAGAAAAGCGCAAGTTTGGCTTTGTGGAAACACAGAAAGATGAAATGCCACCCGAACACGTTCGCAAAATCATCAGGGATCATGGAGATATGACTAATAGAAAGTTCCGACATGATAAGCGCGTGTACCTTGGTGCTTTGAAATACATGCCACACGCAGTACTGAAACTTTTGGAAAATATGCCGATGCCATGGGAGCAGATTCGTGATGTCAAAGTATTATATCACATCACTGGTGCAATTACCTTTGTCAATGAAATTCCATGGGTTGTGGAGCCGATTTACGTCGCCCAGTGGGGAAGCATGTGGATCATGATGCGTCGAGAAAAGAGAGATCGGCGACATTTCAAACGTATGAGGTTCCCACCGTTTGACGACGAAGAGCCACCGCTCGACTATGCTGATAATATACTTGATGTGGAACCACTGGAGCCAATACAACTGGAATTAGACACCGAAGAAGATGTTGCAATCATCGAGTGGTTTTATGACAGAAACCCTTTAGCAGACTCTAAGTAAGTCTGGTCATCTCCAGCTGAATGTGTATGAACTTGGTTTTTAAACTATCTCACCATCTAGCAGATTTGACAAAACATGACTTATCGATTCCCTATTATTTTCCCAAAACCACCACAGATTAGAACCACTCATTCGATTACTTAATGTAGCCTGTCTCGGCTTTATTCATACCCAGTAGTTGTCACATAAAACGCTGTATTACAGACCAAGTCCTAAGTAATAAAGGTTTTTAGTATTTCTCAATGAATGAAAAACAAAACGATATTGCCTTTGCAATATCGTTTTTTTTCAAATTTTTCAAACCGTTAAAAGTGAACTTGGTTTGGACATATATAACAAGTCCCAAGTAGTCTTCTGTGGTAATTCCTGACTTTTTTTGTTACTTTCTCAGTGTTGCCAAAAATTATTTCTAAGGTCTCATTCGGCATAGTCACTCCATGGATTTACTTGAAATGTATATCTTCTAGTAGGGAAATATAATAAGTCACTTGTCGATACTGCATTTTGGTCAGAAGTATTATTAGTTTTTGTGGTTGCAACTAGATACTATGATGTTATCACTCATCAATTTTCTCTGTCTAGACACTGGTGGTTTTGACAGTCTCATTGTGTGTTCATATGCTGCAGTTCAGTGGTTTTCGTGAGTGATCTTACTCTGATCCAGCTCTACGTCCTACCACGTTATTCTTTCGAGAGTCAATTATATTTGTATGTCACAAATCACTTTTGAGGGTACTGAGTTTTCAGATGTTATTACTGTCCATATTCATTTTTACTTAATTTATAAAACTTCCATCAAATCCCTTAATAGTGTTCCGCTTCATTATAAAGTAATAGGAGGCCTCTCGAAGACTTCGGTTTGCGTTTGGCTTCACAGCTCAAGTAAGGCTAGTGAAACATCATGTATTATTGCTGTCAAACAGTAGTGTAAATGTCTGGTTATGTGATGAATGTTGTTGGCAAATCTGAATGAATAATTAGTAACATGACAAGGCTCGTCTTGAACCCCAGAGAGCCATTTTTCTCATAATTCCACAGCATGTTAATAAGTAATAATACCATCACAATAAACACCTTTAATGGGGCAGGACAAAACCCAGAACAAATTGTGACAGTTAGTACTTCTGTGAGACATTTTACGTTTGTCTACGTACAATCATTATGCTGAGACCTGTAGTGGTACGCTACACTACGTTACCCGCATGTGTTGTTCTGAGTCGTGCACTAGTATCTATGGTGTCTATTGTGTTTGGTCGGTCTCCAACTTTTTAATACCTGATATATTTCAAGTTGAAATCTGGAGTACTATGCACATGTATTATCTAATTCAGATTATCTTTCGAAAAGTTAATTGATACCTTAATTTCTGTTTATTTAATAATGTAAACTTTTTAATAGACATATCAACGGGATAACATACCGACGATGGAACCTGCCACTAAACATTATGTCCAATCTTTATCGTCTGGCTAATGCTCTGCTAACAGATCTTGTTGATGAAAATTATTTTTATCTGTTCGACCTCAAGTCATTCTTCACAGCTAAGGCATTGAATGTTGCCCTTCCTGGAGGTCCTAAGTTTGAACCATTGGTTAAGGATAAAACTTTAGAGTAATGTGTTGTTTTTAACTAATAAATAATTTATAGGGATGAGGACTGGAATGAATTCAACGATATTAACAAGATTATAATTCGTCAACCTATTCGTACTGAATATCGAATAGCGTTTCCATATCTGTATAACAGTTATCCTTTTCAAGTTCATTTATCCTGGTATCATACTCCTAACGTTCTTTTCATTAAAACTGAAGATCCTGACCTCCCAGCATTTTACTTTGACCCTCTAATTAACCCCATATCCCAGAGACAAGGTGTGAAGGTAAGTCATGTATCTGTCATATATATTCTTCATAGGCCCCAGAGTTGCAACCAGTTGATGATGAAACATACGAACTCCCGGAAGAAGTCCAACCATTCTTCAATGAAACCCCTTTGTATACTGACAATACAGCTAATGGAATCGCTCTTTTATGGGCTCCAAGGCCGTTTTGTTTAAGATCAGGATCTACTAGACGAGCTCTTGACATTCCTCTTGTTAAAGCCTGGTACAGGGAACACTGTCCTGCAGGTATGCCCGTAAAGGTAAGTTCGATGCAGCATTCGTACATTTGCTTTTTCAGGTTCGTGTCTCTTACCAAAAATTGTTGAAATACTTCGTTCTAAATGCTTTACATCATCGTCGTCCAAAACCTCAGAAGAAGCGTTACTTGTTTCGTTCTTTCAAGGCCACTAAATTCTTTCAAATCACCAGTTTGGATTGGGTTGAAGTTGGACTTCAGGTTTGTCGTCAGGGCTACAACATGCTCAACCTTCTTATTCATCGGAAAAATCTCAACTACTTACATCTGGATTATAACTTCAACTTGAAGCCAGTGAAAACTTTAACTACGAAAGAAAGAAAGAAATCACGATTTGGTAATGCCTTTCATCTTTGCCGAGAAATACTGCGTCTAACAAAGCTTGTTGTGGATAGTCATGTTCAGTACCGTCTGGGTAACGTCGACGCATTCCAGGTATTTACACAACTTTAAGTTTTTGGGCTAGTAAATAAAAAATTCCCGAAATCTCGTTTGAAAGTTAATATCACTTTTATGATGAAAACGCAGGGGTCCGGAATGTGGTTATCATGTGGACCACATAGCATAAAAAATCATTGGCTATATATTTCAGCATTGGTTTTTTCATGCTAGGAAACTGCCAAAACTGAAATTACTAAACTTTTTTGTTAATAGTGATTTATTGTTGTTTTCAGTTGGCAGATGGACTTCAGTATATATTTTCACATGTCGGACAACTAACGGGAATGTACCGTTACAAATACAAGCTTATGCGCCAAATCAGAATGTGTAAAGATCTCAAACACGTAATATACTATCGTTTCAACACTGGACCAGTTGGTAAAGGACCAGGTGTGGGATTTTGGGCACCCGGTTGGAGGGTGTGGCTGTTTTTCATGCGTGGCATAACCCCATTACTCGAACGTTGGTTGGGAAATCTTTTATCGCGGCAATTTGAAGGAAGACATTCTAAAGGCGTTGCTAAAACAGTTACCAAACAAAGAGTCGAGTCTCACTATGATTTGGAATTACGTGCCGCTGTTATGCATGATATACTGGACATGATGCCTGAAGGCATTAAGCAGAACAAGGCTAGGACCATTTTGCAGCACCTAGGGGAGGCCTGGCGTTGTTGGAAAGCTAATATTCCGTGGAAAGTAAGTTTCTACTTTTGACTTGTTTCATTTAATAAGTAATCCCAATGTCGCTAAATGGATAAGTCACTAGTGTTGCTTGCAATCTACTTAAGTCTCGATGTCTTGTTATTTTGCACTTTACTGCTTTATCAAAAGAGGGATACTTTTTATAAAAGATTAACGGGAGAGGTATTTAAAGTACTTTGGGTATTTGAGTAATCCTTATCCGCAACATTAGTAGGGCTAGAGTATTAGGCTGATATACTAATCAGAAAATTGTCCCAGCATTTATCGCGTTAGTATTTGTATCTGTTCGGTGTTTAAGAATAAGGCTTTTAGCTCCGCCTCACTTGTTTTATTATCATACGTAGATTTCTTTAAAATCTGAGTCATCAACCTACCTTACTTATGTTGTAAGGACTTAGTATCGAAAGTTTGGCCAAATCTAGGAATTTGACATGCACAGAATCTTCTGTTGTCCAATAGTATACGGTTGGTTAACCAGCGCACCTGTAAAATCGTCAAATGTTTGTTCTTTATAGCTACTTATATGAACTGCGATTTTCAAGTCGTTTATCAAGTCTGCACCGATTCTACACTGAGTTGAGGCTATTCGTCTTTCATTTTGTGAAGAAGTAGGATGTAAGACTAAAGATTATTCTTTTAGGGTTTTAGGTAACGGAATGTTCGTCGTTGCAGTATTATTCGCTGTAGAACTTTTCACTTGCGTTTACCTGCTTCTGCAAACTTCTTATTACTAAGTTCCCCATTTACCAAAAGTAGATTAAGTCTGTCTGGATTCAACATAGAACTTGGCACTGAAGTGCAGCAGTTCAAGTTGCCACGTTCCGAATAGGCACACAAAGGTAGACGAGAAGATGAGTGAAGAGAATCAATAGAGTTTCACAAGTATAAGAGTGAAACAGAATGGGTAATGATAGAAAGGAATATGAAAGATTACAGAGACTGAATACATCTGCGCCATTGACAACGATTTTGAGCCATGTCACCTGTTGTCTCCAGCCATTGACTCCTAGAGTCCCGAGGGCCCTAACCCGGAAGTCTGGATCTCCCTACCTGACTCAGTTTAACTGTCAAGGATTTCATGGATTGATGCCATGTTTTTGTTTGGCCACCACTCACTCTTTCCCAACCTGCACCTATATCAGCTAGTAATGCCCGTCGGGGGAGGCGATGGTTAGGCATGCGCAGCACGTGACCTAGCCATCTCAATCTATGTAACTTTATAGCCTCGTCGATTGATTTTCCCTGTTTGCCCAATACTCTACGCCTAACGTCAACATTACTGACCTTATTATACCACCTAACGTGAGAGAGAGATCGCAGACATCTATGATCGAAAGCAGTCAACCTTTTCATGTCTTCAACTCGTATTGGCCATGTTTCAGAGCCATAGACAAGGACGGAGCAAACTGCTGAGCAGTACACACGTCCCTTGGTTGATAGCCGGATGTCACGTCTACGCCAGAGATGGCGTAAGTTGGCGAAAGCAGCTCGAGCTTTTTGGATCCGTGCTGAGATTTCGTCACCAATAAGTCCATTGGTGCTGATACAACTTCCCAAATAGGTGAAGTGGTCAACATATTCTGTCACTTCATTCCCTATCACTAAGCTAGGAGTTGACGTAGTCCAGTCCTATAAGATTAAGTAGTAAGTCCAATTATGCTGCTTAATATGCTGGTGGGTGTTGCTGGTTTTTAAAATATTGATGTGAGAGAATGGCTGACAATTGTGAGTGTAATAAGTACTTTAACAGGAGTTTATGCACAAAGAAAGGGTTATCTCGGGATGTTCTTATTCAGGATTTATTTATTGTGCCTCTTAGGCTGGTTAAAATATTGAAGGGTTAAATACTTTTTTAAATAAATGCTATCTTCAACAAACAAGGTTTAGTGAAAGTTACTTTCTCACTTTATCTTTTAGGTCCCAAACATGCCTATTCCTATTGAGAATATGATTTTGCGTTATGTCAAAGCGAAAGCTGATTGGTGGACTAATACAGCCCACTATAATCGGGAACGTATACGGCGTGGTGCAACAGTTGATAAAACTGTTTGTAAAAAGAATCTAGGTCGCTTGACTAGACTTTATCTCAAAGCAGAACAAGAACGACAACACAACTATCTAAAGGTTTGTTTCATATTTGCTTAATTCATGTGCTATCTTAGTGTTATTGTAAGTTATAAAGTTGCATTAGTTAAAAATACGTATTTATATTGTTTTTAGAATTTTCTTCATTCTTTTTCATCCCTTCACTCTGTTCATGTCTCTTATGTAATGATGACTCAATCATCGGGGTATTTGTCTACATCATTCCCTGTATTTCGTATGTAAGAAAGGATGTGAAATATTCAGATGAGTACAAATAAGATCTCATAAACTCATTAATTCTTGATATATTATCACTTGTTGCTTGTTCAGAAATTATGTATGTACCTAATACCGCTTTCTTAATTCTAGGATGGTCCTTATGTAACTGCCGAGGAGGCTGTCGCTATTTACACAACAACTGTGCATTGGTTGGAAAGCCGACGTTTTTCACCTATTCCATTCCCACCGCTGAGTTACAAACACGATACTAAACTACTCATCCTCGCCCTCGAACGTCTTCGAGAATCATATAGTGTGAAAAACAGGTTGAATCAGTCTCAGCGTGAAGAATTGGGTCTAATTGAACAAGCCTACGATAACCCACATGAAGCTCTCAGTCGTATCAAACGTCATTTACTCACCCAGAGAGCTTTTAAAGAAGTTGGGATTGAATTCATGGATCTTTACAGCCATTTGGTACCTGTTTATGATGTTGAGCCTTTGGAAAAAATAACGGATGCTTATTTGGATCAATATTTATGGTATGAAGCGGACAAACGTCGTCTGTTCCCTCCTTGGATTAAGCCGGCTGATTTGGAACCCCCACCCTTACTAGTTTACAAATGGTGTCAGGGTATCAATAATCTAAAGGTAAGCTAATAGATAATGGTTTTTCTTATACTTCTCTTCGATTCTTGTACAAATATACCTGTTTCATAGATATTTATTATCATCTGAATCAGGTTTTTAACCATAAATCAATATCTCAGTGTAATAACACAATGCTAAAACAATGTTCAAATTACATATTTTATTTAAAGGAATGGAGCTTAAGCTGTACGATTATTTTTTGTTCCTATTATACGTATCGCATACCCGTTCTTATTCATCTGAAATTATAATTTGTTGCACTTTGTTTGGCTTTATACGTTTTCTTAGTATTACAAAACTGAGTTAATTTTCTTACACTTCTTGATTTTCAGGATGTCTGGGAAACTGGTGAAGGTGAATGTAACGTCTTACTAGAGACAAAATTCGAAAAAGTTTACGAAAAGATTGATCTGACGCTGCTTAATCGTCTCTTGAGATTGATTGTTGATCACAATATTGCGGATTATATGACAGCGAAAAATAACGTTGTGATAAATTACAAAGACATGAACCATACAAACAGTTACGGAATTATTCGAGGTCTACAGTTCTCATCTTTCATCACACAGTACTATGGTCTTGTCCTTGACTTGCTAGTTTTGGGCCTGGAGCGTGCAGCTGAAATGTGTGGACCTCCACAAATGCCCAATGACTTTCTGCAGTTTCAGGTAAAAATGTCCTCAATTTTTATTGTTCCAATATCTAAAATGCTAAAGCTCAACACTAAATAATCCCTCTTTGTCTATTTCAACAGGATACTGCAACGGAAATTGCACATCCCATCCGACTGTACTGTCGTTACGTGGATCGCTTTTGGATGTTCTTCCGTTTTTCAGCGGACGAAGCACGTGACCTTATCCAACGTTATTTAACAGAACATCCAGACCCAAACAATGAAAATATTGTGGGTTATAACAACAAAAAGTGCTGGCCACGTGATAGCAGAATGAGGCTAATGAAACACGACGTAAATCTCGGTCGTGCTGTCTTTTGGGACATCAAAAACCGTCTACCAAGATCTGTCACAACAGTTGATTGGGATAGCAGCTTCGTTTCAGTTTATAGCAAAGACAATCCGAATTTATTGTTTGCTATGTGTGGGTTCGAATGTCGTATTCTACCATCTTGTCGTTCACCTGGTCAAGCTGCAGATGCAAATCTTCCAAGTGGTGTTTGGCATCTACAAAACGAGGTATAGCATTGTGCAAATTAGCCATAAATTACTTTTTAATGAACGAATGAACTGTAGTTTGACGATACACGTTATATTACTCTTTTTCCCAGGTGACCAAAGAACGTACTGCACAGTGTTTCCTCCGTGTTGATGATGAATCAATGCAGCGGTTCCACAATCGAGTCAGACAAATTTTGATGGCTTCAGGATCGACAACATTTACAAAAATAGTGAATAAATGGAACACTGCTCTCATTGGTTTAATGACCTACTACAGAGAAGCAGCAGTGAGTACTGTGGCACTATTAGATTTGCTGGTAAAATGCGAAAACAAAATACAAACACGTATCAAAATTGGATTAAATTCAAAAATGCCGGCTCGTTTTCCTCCAGTAGTATTTTATACACCAAAGGTGAGCTCATAAATATTTTCTCTTCCACTGCTCCAGAATGGTTATAACTCATTTCTTCATGTCTGTATTATGCTAAGTATTTGTCATACGATCATTATTTCTATTATCACTCATCCCGCAGCTTTGCCTCAGGACCTGTTGGAATGACTTCAGAGGTGTATGAGGACGATGGAGACAAATTACTGTCTGCGTTAACTAAAGTATTAGGCAGCGTCTGAGAATCAGGGATAGTCTCGTTGGGCCGGTGCAAGTCAGTGATTGTCCTGATATCCAAGAAGGGAGACAAGTTTTCCTGTGATAATCACAGTGGGAATAGTTTGACCAATAAGATATCTAAAGTGTTAATTTGTAGGGATTTGATTCGTTACAGGATTTTCATCATGAGCTGACATTAGTTAGAGAACCATTGGAAAACCTGGGGGTACTGGATAGCTGTTTCGTCCTAGTTTGAGACCCTTCATCAGTACGCACCCACCGGGATTCGAACCCAGGACCTTCTGGTTACAAGGCGAGCTCGTATACCATTAAGCCACTGGGACCCGTTCCAATGGCCCACGAATACTAACTTCTATCTATATCTAAAGTTCTAGGCTCAATAATGCTGTGTAGACTAGGCGGTGCTCGGGAGGGACAAACACGAGAGAACCAGACAGGCTTTAGACCAGGAAGAGGGTGTATTTGATGATATCTTCACACTTCGACAGATTCTGAAACATAGGCATACTCACCGGCATCCAACCATCGTCATATTTCTTGACTTGAAGGTGGCATTCGATTCCGTCGACCAAGAGATACTATGGAGATGTTTGGCTGTGAAGGGAATGCCGAGAAAATACATTGCACTGATCAGAGCACTCTAACTCATGTAACTAGGTGAGGGCTTACGGAGAGTTGTCACTTGAGGTGGTGACAGCCACTGGTGTCCATCAGGGATGCCCACTTTCCCCATTTCTGTTTAATTTCATCATATATGTACTAATGGACTTAACCATAACTTCAGTGACTCAGAGACTGGCTTGTTACAGGTAGTAATTTCGCTGATTTGAAAAATGCAGATGATAAAGTCCTTCTAGTTGAAAACGCTGTCGAAATGCAGTCTTCTGAATACCTTGGGCAGCAACCTGCAAATATTTGGCATGAGATTCGCTGTTGTCAAGTGTAAAATGATGCTACCGAAATGGACTTGACTACTACTACTACTTGACTCCTAGTTTAAAGATAGAGAGTGAAGTGGGAAGCTGCATCAGTCAGCCCCAACGGGTTGATCACTGACGGAAATCTCAGCACAGATAGAGAAGGTCAGTTGGGCATACACCATCTCTGGCGTAGACGTGATATGTGGCTGTCTATCGACCAAAGAGCGTGTGTACTGCTCAGCAGTCTGCTCCGTCCTCCTTAGTGGCTGTAAGATCTGGCCATTAAAAGTGGAAGACATGAAAATGGTGGCTAGCTGTCTTTGATCATAGGCGTATGCGTTCTATCTCCCTTGCCAGGGGGAGACAATTAGTGATATGGCTCAAAATCGTTCTCAATGGCTGACGCAGATGCACGCACTCGTGATTTATGATAACCAATAAAACCGTATTGTTCTTCCATGTTACTATTCTTTTTGCGTCATGTCTCTGTTTTGGATCTCTTTTTACTCTCTTCTGTTGCTTTGTGTGGTACGTGAAGTGTGCCAACTCGAACCACTGCACATTGATACCAGTCAGTCAGTTCCGAGTAGAACATAGAGCTTCAAAGGTACATCTACATTGCACTCGGTTCCTTGCTATCATTTTTAACTGGCTTTTTGACTGCTCACAAACTTTCATTCTCATCTTACGTAATCTTTCCTGTGTCACAATTGGACACTCAACTCTGCTTCCCTTTATCATTCCACTTGACAGTCTGGCGTTTTGCGTCACCTGAAGGTCTTCTTAGCATGTATTTAATCCATTTCCTTCTGTATATTTGTTGGGCAATAGGTTGTTCGTTAGTTCGCAAAAGTCCTATGTTGCTTATCTGATCTGATTATTTTCCATTGAGGGCAGGTGTTGGAAGTTTACAACCTGTTGGAAATACATAAGGTGTCGAATGCGTTAAGTCTCGGAACCATGTAGGAGCATTGACTCAACATTATTGTTAAAAGCTGGATTTTGTTTGTTTCGCTAAGTGCTGTTGATCTGTACATTAATTTCAGCGATCAAGACTCGTCTTGCTTCCTTGATTCTGACTTAGATATCATCCATGCCACCACATGTAATCGGAACGATGCTGTCGTAGTATGTTAAAAAGGGGACTTCCCTTCGATCTCTCCTACTAATTGTAGTTGGTATTTTTAGTGTTGGTTTTCGGGTATCCTTATCACCCCTGTTTTCTGTATATTTATCTGAATTCCTGTGCTCTCTGCCTCTTCTACCAACTTGTGGGGTTTCGCTTGTAAATCTGTGATTTTGTGCGACAAAAGACATCTGCAAAATCCAAATCTTCCAAGTTATTTTTATTGGTCTACCCTTGTGCACATGTGCTCTCACCGCACAAAGTCTCATGATTCAATCCTTCACATTTCGGAAGATTATCGGTGTTAATGAGTAGCCTTATCTTACGCTTGCCTTCATTTACCTGACATGCGGCATCAGAAAATAGCTGTAGAATTGTTTATAAATATTCACTACGCTTCGTAGTGTTGACCATCAATCGCACAATTACCTGTCGTTCGACGCTGTCGATGATCTCCAGGTCCCCGTAGTACGGCCTTCTATGTCCTACGTCTTCCGTCTGCCAAAGATTTGCTCCACCGTCTCCTTTAAAAGAATTCCAGCGCCTTTCCACAGGTTTCGTCCGTGATGTTGCTTAGTGTCTCTGGTGCTAGTTTCCTGGTGATTACCATGAAGATCCATTTTCCGCTACTTCCTTCAGTTTTCCAAGTCTGTAAGGAGTTTTCCTTTCTTATTCTTTCCACAGACCACCTTTCGGCTCATAACGAGCTCTTTTCTTGTGTTTGCATCCAATTTGCCTGACGTTCATATCACCGATTAGAATTTTGATGTAGCTATCTGAAGTCTAGTGAACTACCGTCCGTAAAATTTCTGCTTCTCTGAATCTGCTTTGTATAGTAGTAACTCCACTTCATTTAGAGTTGAATTCATCTTTCATGATTGTGGTTCCCAATACATGAGGTCCTTCATGTTCGTGGTGACATGTTAGTCACATCCTAAGTGTGCTCGAGCTTACCATTTGTGTGACCCGAGTAGACTATCGACTACTCCTAACCATTTGCAGAATCCACTTCAATTACAACCGCTCTCACAGATTTCTAACATTTCAATACCATATCTTCTTATCCCATGTGCCATCTGAGCAGGTTTACCAACCAGCTGCAGACGTGTTGCTAATATTCCATGTCCCTAAGCTTACTTTTACTTTGAATCGAAAGAGGACTCATCGGCTTTCCGAAGGCTTTAATCCGCTGGCATAACCCGTGTTTAAACGGAGGTGCTCCAAAATTTCAGAGTGACATGGGTGAGGTAACAGGCCCATGCCCATCCTTACTGTGTTCAGGACCATCTAGTAAATTAAGAGAGGTGATGTAAGTTCTTAAATTAATATAAGTATTGTGGAGAATTTCATTTTGTATTCCTCATATACACCTATTTTACCTAAAAATATATTTCGTTTGAATTTTTGTCTAGGAACTTGGTGGCTTAGGTATGCTAAGTATGGGACATGTTCTAATTCCTCAGTCCGATTTACGATGGTCAAAACAAACTGATGTGGGTATAACACATTTTCGTTCTGGCATGAGTCATGATGAGGACCAGGTTATTCCTAATTTGTTTTCATATATTTTATCATGGGAAACAGAGTTCCGTGACTCACAGAGTGTTTGGGCGGAGTATGCACTAAAACGACAGGAAGCAAATGCTCAGAATCGGTAAGTGTTGTATTTTTCGGAACTGCTGTTATTTGTTCACGGGTTATTGATGTACATATTGAGCAGGAACGAAATCCTCTGCGGTTCCGCTACATCGCTTTATGAATGTTCTTTTAGATGGGCGATTGCGGTGTTTGTGGATTTGTAGTTGTGGAAACGGATTCTAATATATGACAATGGGGTTTGTTTAGCGAGCTGTTATAAGGTGAATATTTATATTGAGAATGATGCATTGTCCAGGTTAGATTGAGATTTCTTGAGACAGTATATTATACATGCATTGTATAATTAATTTCGCATGTATCCTAGCTAATTCATTTTTTAAAACATTCTTAAGGCGCTTAACATTAGAGGATCTTGAAGACAGCTGGGATCGAGGTATTCCGCGAATCAATACTCTCTTCCAAAAAGACAGACATACACTGGCATATGACAAAGGATGGCGCGTTCGTACGGAGTTTAAACAATATCAAGTTCTCAAACAAAATCCATTTTGGTGGACGCATCAGAGGCACGATGGAAAATTGTGGAATTTGAATAACTACCGTACCGACATGATCCAAGCATTAGGTGGTGTCGAGGGCATTCTGGAGCACACATTATTCAAAGGAACATATTTTCCTACTTGGGAGGGTCTTTTTTGGTAAGTTCCTGATCCATGCAATATATTGTTGTTTGTTCACTCAACCTAATTATCTGTTTTTCTAATCTGACACTAATGTGATAGCTCAATTGAAAGCATTATGTCCCTTTCGTGATAACTGGTGCTGGTCTCACTGACAGTAGGTATACTGATTACATATATATATATATATATATATATATGTCACATTCAATCTATGGTTGTACTTCTGTTACTCTGTATCTTATTTTTTTACAATTTTAGGGAGAAAGCCAGCGGTTTTGAAGAGTCAATGAAGTATAAAAAGCTAACTAATGCACAACGGTCGGGTTGAATCAAATACCTAATCGACGTTTTACTTTGTGGTGGTCTCCAACTATCAATCGAGCCAATGTAAGTTATTTTGGGTCTTAGATTATTTTGACTTAAGACTTCAATAACTGAGATACATTCAAACATATAAAACAGTTCATTTTACTTTATTCCTGTTATTTTTGAATAAATAATACGCTGAAAATTCCTCCTGTGAATTCATTTTCATGCAAAATGGCAGCAGCTTATCACGCTAAGGAATATTAAAATGCTGTTTAGAAGTTATGCGGTAAAATTTGTATCTTTCTGTTATGAACTATATATGTTACACTATACTACCCAATCGCCATATCAAAAAAGGTTGAGTTGCATTTAAGCCCTAGTACCATTAGTTGAAAGTCCATTGTCTATATTACTTAAATACAATTCCATCGCTAATTAAATGTTGGGAACTTCATTTTATTATCCTATTAAACTTCCCATACTATAAAGTACCGGTTCCTAAGATCTCAGTCTTCACTTTAAGAGATACAACCCATCAAACACACGTTGCTTGGAAATACTTACTTTGCTCTTGTTTGAATCATATAAAACCATTTTATTTTTATTTTGCCTCGTACATTTTTAAAGTTTCAACATATTTCCTTCCATGTTCCTTACAAAATCGAGGGGGAATACATATGAAATGACAGCGAGCAGTGAAGCGTACACACAAATCGAATGAGTTATTTAGCACAAATTTCAGATTATATGGTTATTTCTATTTTTTCTGTAAATGGAGTAAATTTGTTGCAAAACGAAGAAGGCTGAAAGTTTCATTCCTTTCAAAGTCATCAATTGGCATATCAGTGCAGTTAGCTATTTCCTTAATAGCCGTATTTAGCAATTACTGATTTTGGTATTTTATTTTGCTTTAGGTATACGTTGGTTTCCAAGTACAGCTTGATTTAACTGGCATATTTATGCATGGTAAAATCCCAACTCTGAAAATATCACTCATCCAAATATTCCGCGCTCACTTGTGGCAAAAAATCCACGAATCTGTAGTCATGGATATTTGTCAAGTGTTTGACCAAGAATTAGATGCTCTGGAAATAGAAACTGTACAAAAGGAAACCATCCATCCTCGAAAGTCTTATAAAATGAATTCCAGTTGTGCAGATATTCTTTTGTTTGCTTCTTACAAGTGGCCTGTGTCCAGACCAAGTCTTTTGGCTGATTCAAAGTATGTTTCCAGTGCCGTAGATTTCAATAGTATTTTTCGTATGTGTAAATGTGTCCCAAGTTCCTTATACTACCAGACAATTTTACTGGTCATCAAAAAGTTCTTGGCTTGCGTATCCTGCTAGTGACCATAACCAATTTGTTTAACTTTATCAACTGAAATCTTGTAATAAAATGAAGGCAATCATATCAGAGGCATTATTAGCTTTTTCTTTTAATTGACGTGGTGGTCATATGAATGCATTAAAGAATTTAATGCAATAAGATGTGATAAACGGTATCCACAGCTTTACCTTTGTTGAAAGTAAATATCAAGCCTAGTTGAAAACCCAAAGAGATATATATATAATATGTATACCCTTAGTCAAAACTTAATCTGTTCAAGGTAGTCCTTGTTTATTATCTTCTGTGTTTACTATTACAGAGACCTTATGGATGGTACCACTACCCAAAAATTCTGGATCGATATTCAGTTGAGATGGGGTGATTATGACTCCCACGATATTGAGCGTTATGCTAGAGCAAAGTTTCTGGACTATACAACTGACAACATGTCTATTTATCCTTCTCCAACAGGTGTCATGATTGCAATTGATCTTGCCTATAATTTGCATAGGTTAGTATTAATTTTTTCAACAGTCGAGTATTTCAAATGCTAATCTTTATCGCCTACAAATGCTTATTAAATATGTCGCACCACATCACTATTACATGACAAGAACAACGCGATACGATAGTCTTTTCTGTATCATTTTCTTGGATTAATTGAATGAGGTTTTGCAATATTTCGTTACTTCGTCACAGAGACTTTATGTATGTTTGTGTGTAGAAATAGTGTTTTTCTCATAGAATCATCCGATTTACACTTGCAAAGCATTTTGTATAAATAATAAGTGCGATATCATTCATTTGCTACACTGTCAGTCTTGTTACTATTATTCTCTCAATTTTCGGTTGATTTACCGTGTATAATTAGCTTAATCTTCTTTGGGTAGAAGATACTGGTGGAACAACAGGTGTCAGTCAGACGCTTGCCAACAGTTTCAAGTCATTTTGCTGGTAGAATTACTGTCTAGAATTGAACTGAATTTTCATCGACAGTTAAGAGTTGCTACAATTCATGCGTTTTGCATTTACATGTTATTAAAATGTCTTAGCATTCTTTGTTCGGAATATTTCAACAAACATTTTTTAAAAGATTGTTCAGTGTTTAACAGAAATTAATTGCTTGTTATAAAATTTATTTATTTATGGTGTGTTTATAATCAGTGCTTATGGAAATTGGTTCCCTGGTTGTAAACCACTCATTCAACAGGCAATGGTCAAAATAATGAAAGCCAATCCCGCTCTGTATGTGTTACGTGAACGTATTAGGAAAGCATTACAATTATACTCTAGCGAACCTACTGAGCCTTACTTGAGCTCACAGAACTACAACGAATTGTTCTCCAATCAAATTATATGGTTTGTTGATGATACAAATGTATACCGTGTTACTATACACAAAGTAAGTTAGGGTAAATATCAGTAATTTTTTAAAATATCTGTTGTCTTCGTTTACTGATATGCGTGTGCTTGAAAACGTTTGACCATAATGCGATTAGAATTCTTATTCATCATATCTTGAGACTTTTGGAAGTCTGTTTATTTCCTTTTTCACTCACTATAATTTCTTAAAATTACATGTACTGCGGCATCGAAATTTTTGTAAAGTGCTATGTGATGATCCGACATAGGTAAAATTGAATAAAGCGAGAACAACATTGATTTGTGCAGAATAACATGGTATCATCATTTATTCCGTTGGCTTCTCGTCAGCTGCTTACAGCCTAAATAAATTTTCAGGTTTAAGTGCAGAAACGTTTTAACATACTTGCAAATTTTACATGTCAGTTGACAGAAAGTTTCACAATTAGTAAACAGTGCTCAGAAAATTGCGCTTATATAGTTTTTACACAGGCAGTTGAAGTTAAAAAAATAAATGTATGCATATAATGGCAAAATTGTGTTTGAATATAGTGTGACAGACTAGGAATGCAGACAAAAAGAGACTTGTAGTTTCCTCGGGATTTGTAACTATGCTTAAATAGAAAACAGAAAGGGCTTTTCTTTGCTTCTTTTTCTGTCGAATTGTTAGTTTTCGCCTATATATCTTCGACTTTGTGTGACATTGGGCATAAACCGTCCGAGAACTCCAGATCTTTTAGACACGTAGTTTCTTCGGGATTTGTAATTATACTAAAATAGAAAACAGAAAGGGCAACGAACAGCCATACTTTGATACTGTATCCTAAGTTAATAAGTTGTCTTTATGTTAATCAATGTTGGACCTCTGATGACTGACTTTTTGAATGTCACAAGTTTACTCTGGATAGTTCAGAGTATCAGTACTGTCAAATGCAGATTTTTAGGTATGGGTATTATTATTTGCATCTATAGGAAATTAAATGTCAAAATTGATCCTTCTTTTCTTTCGCGCATCATGTATGTAATGATCTGTATAATCACTATAAAAGTCGTTCATAATGCCTTAGAATAGTTATCGAAATCATACAGAATTCATGTTTCAATCCTTATTATTTTATTATTCCCTTGGGTTCTGAGTAGAATACAGGGCTTCAACAGTACGTCTCCATTTCGTCCCATTCTCTGCAGTTATCTTTATCTGGCCCCACGATCTCCTCCATATACATTACACTGATTGAGGTACTCTACGCGAACTCATGCAGCCAGGTTAGGGCTTACGGTGAGTTGTCATCTGAAGTGGTGACAACTAGTAGTGTCCGTCAAGGATGCCCATTATCCCCATTTCTATTCAATTTCATTATAGATGTACTGATGGACTTAACCCTAACTCACTTCAGACACTTGAGGGCTGACTTACTACCAGGGAATAATCTCTTTGACTTAGAATATGCAGACGATATAGTCCTAGGCGAGAACGCTGACAAAATACAGAGTCTTCTGAACACCCTAAGCTACAATCTACGAATGTTTGGCATGCGATTCACTCCCGCCAAATGCAAGATGATGTTACAGGCCTGGACTACATTGATTCTTAGTTTAGAAATAGGGAGAGAAGTGGTAGAGCACGTTGACCACTTCACTTATTTGAGAAGTATCATCAACCAACGCTAACGAGTTGATCTCTGACGAAATCTCATCATGGATACAGAGGGCTAGTTTCGCATATGCCAGTTTACGCCGTCTCTGGCGTAGACGTGATATCCAACTATCGACCAAAGGGCGTGTGTACTGCTTAGCAGTCTGTTCCGTCCTCCTTAATGGCTGTGAGATCTGGCCATTAAAAGTGGAAGACATGAAAAGATTAGCCGTCTTTGATCATAGGTGCCTGCGCTCTATCTCCCGTGTTAAGTGGTATAATAAGGTGAGCAATATTGAGGTGAGGCATCGGTCGAGTTCTAGGTAAGGAGGGGAAATCAATCGACGAGGCTGTGAAATTACACTGATTGAGATGGTTAGGACATGTGTTACGTATGTCATCGCCTTCCTCGACGGGCATTGTTAGCTGATCTAGGGTCAAGCTGGAAAAGAGCTAGCGGTGGTCAAACCAAAACATGGCACCAATCAATCAAATCTACAACAGTTAGTTTAAGCCTGTCACGTAGGAAGGTGTAGACTTCCTGGTTGGGGTCCTCGTGACGGTAAAAACCAATGGTTGTAAACAATTGGTGATATGGCTCAAACTCATCGTTCTCAATGGTGCAGATGCATCCACTCCTTGTGACGTGTGATTTCCAATGAAACTATATTGTTCTTCGTTATTACTGTTCCTTTGTCTCACACCTCTGTTTACTGTCTCTATTATGCATTTCTTCTCTTGCTTTGTGTGTTACATGGAGGGAGTGTAGCGACTTGAACTGGTGCACATATGTGCAAAGTTTTATGTCGAAAACAGGCAGACATCCTCGGACCCGCGCTTAACTCGTTCCCCATTCTGGTTCCGCTCGAGTGGTAGCCTGGCCTGCGATGTCATTAAGTGGTCTCCCCAGCATGTGTCCGATCAACCTCCATTTTCTTTGCAATATTTTCTGGTCGAGCAGTAGGTTCTTGATTGGATCGTTCCTAGAGTTTCTTGTTGCTATTTCTTTTTATCAAGCCATTTGATCTTCATCATGAAGTCAGCGAAGGTAACTGTTGATAAAAGTCTGCAACAGGTTGTTAGAAATTCTTTTCCTGATGCGCCAAGCTTCTAAGGTCATATAGAAGAACGGATTTAACATTGGTGTTGGAAAACCGAATCTCGTTCCTTATGCTGAATGCAGATGATTTCCAGACTGATTTCAGAATTAATTTATGTCTTACCTTTCCAATCCCAGTTTTGACATCAAAATTCGCTCCACTTGTTGTTGAAACGATGCTGTCTAGATAAGTGAAGTAAGTGGCCTCTTTTGCATTTATTCCATTGACAATGATTGATGCTTGTTGTTGCTGTTGTTGTTAGTCAGTTATCTTCTGCGCTTCCGTCTTCTCTACGTTCACATGAAGGCTTTTTTGTCGCCTTGTTGGTTTTCGCCTATAAATCTTCTAGTTTGTGTGACATTGGACATAAATTGTCCGAGAACTCCATGTCTTTTAGAGTCATCTTGCAGCTCCAACGTATTCCTGTCTGCTCACTGCCCATAGTCTTCCGCAAAATCCAGTCTTCAACAATTAAGAGTATCGTTGGAGATAGTAAGTAGCTTTGACATATGAAATTATCAAGTAATAAATGAAACTACTGAAAAGAGTCTCTCCCCAGAATAACATGTCCTGGAAAGATAAATCTATCAAGACTACAAACATTGTACTTCAATCCTCGCAGCAACTTTTTATGAATTTTCACCATTAGTTCTTCTCTCAGGCTTACCTGATGTTGTGTTAACCTTTTTGGCTTTTTTTTTGAGGCATTTCGTTGATGTAGTCCATCATCTGAGGTAATATGTGAACTTTCAACCTCTGTTTTTCATTGATGTAAGTATAAAACTTGGGCACTGTGGTACAGTATAGCTCCATTATGGATAAGATTTTATTTTGATAAATCACAGTGTTATATAGTAATATTAACTGATGACGTTTCGAGTACAAACTATTGCTCAAAGTCATATGAAGTTTTTCATTCCTTATTAATTACAGTTTATGTGTATTTATAGACTTTTGAAGGCAATCTTACGACAAAGCCTATCAATGGAGCAATTTTCATTTTCAACCCACGAACTGGACAGTTATTCTTGAAAATTATCCATACATCTGTATGGGCAGGACAAAAACGTTTAGGTCAGTTGGCAAAATGGAAAACAGCTGAGGAAGTTGCTGCACTCATTCGTTCGCTGCCAGTTGAAGAACAACCTAAGCAAATTATTGTTACTCGTAAGGGCATGTTAGATCCTTTGGAAGTGCATCTTCTCGACTTCCCGAATATTGTTATAAAGGTAAAAATGTGTGCATATATAACTTTGAATAATATTCCTAACTGATGAAATTATTATTATTATTTCCTTCACGTTCCCAATGGAACATAGGGCTCCAAGCTGGAGGCTTGAAGTTTCTATAGCAGTGTTTATTTTTATAGGATAGGGTTGCTAGCCTCATGTCCAACCTTCCCTCTTTACCAGTCTTATTATTGGATAAGTGAGGTAAAGGAATGTGTCGGCCGGTGATCCCAGACCATATGCATGGTCGGCGAGCATGCTAACCGCTGTGCCACCAACACAACTCGTGAAAGTAGTTTGTGTCGTTTTCATAACTTTAGACTTTAAATATGGTATGACTTTATTAAAACACTGTCAAATATCCAGATCGCTGAGATCCTGGACCTTTCTCTTGTTTCAGAAGATTAAGCTTAAACGTAGAACACTGTGCACTGTAACCGACACAAACAGGATCCTGGGCAAAGAGTTGGTTGCATTCCTATTTTTCTGATAGAATGCAGTATACTGTATATAACGGCAAATCTTCTACCTCGCTTACAAAATCCGGTGTTCCACAAGGTGCTGTCCTCTCTCCTTTTCTTTTTTCTTTCTTCCTACACGACCTGCCTCATTCAAACGAAACTTTGTCAAATATGCAGATGATCTGACTGTATCACTGCCTATCACTTCCGAGTATGACAGCTCCAAACTCAATAGCTTTCTGTTGGACATCAACAAGTGGTCCAAGTCAAATGGTCTTATATTAAATCCTTCCAAATGTCAGGCACTTGACTTTACTTTCAAGCATCGACGTGACTTACTTGAACTAGTTAGCTCGCATGATCCCTGTAGCATAGATGGCACGGAAATTGAAACCAAATCAAGCATTAAATACCTTGGATTAGTTCTTTCCTCTGACCTTTCATGGTCATCACACATCTTATCTACCTCTAAGAAAATGTTTCGTCTTACTTTCTATATTAAAAAGTTAAGACAATCAGGTATCAACCAACCTTTAGTTTTGCAATTTTTAAACTCCTGTATTTTACCTATTGTACTCCATTGCTCTCCATTAATCTTTCCTGGGCTTCTCAAAAAAGATTATATCATATTATGAAGAGTATTAAATGCTGTGAGTAGAGCTTGTGGTCTGCCACTGCATGAGCTCGCTAATACTATAGTCGAGAGGCATACAAATTCCTGAACGAAATGGGCAAAGGCTATACTGTCAGACCCTCTGCATCCCCTTTATTCACACCTGTCACCTTTTATCTCATCAGGTAGGACGACAAGTCAATATAAAAAGTTATATGCTCGTACCACTAAGTATAGAAATTCTACAATACCCTATTTAGCGCGTACTTTATGTGACGAAGACTCTGTTAGACGTGAAAATTATAAGTTACTATGTAATTAGCACAGTGAATCGACCCTTTCATCGTTCATCTTTCTGTATTTTATGGTGTCACACTTTCTATCGTTTAATTATTACTCTGCTATTTTATTTTAGTTGGTATTACTATTATTACTACAATTTTGTACTTTATGCATATTTTACTCCGTATGGCATACAGTATTTTGCTATGTAGCTGCTATAACAATCGTTTTATTACTATTATGTAATGTGTACTTTTAATTTTTTTGTCGTTTTTGAGTAAATTAGATGCAATATTGTACTGAATGCTGAAAATTCCTTACTGTATCATTAGTACTGTTTTTGGAATAAAGCAAAAATTATTATTATTAAAAACAACAGAAAACAGTTAGGCAACATGATTATTTATTCTTCAAGCGATAACAAAACAGATTTACGGTGGCTAATCAGTGCCAAAGTCTGTAAGTAAACGTTAATATAATATACAGCAGTACTTCTCATCCGTATTTCTCAAATCTTCTGCCAACCAGTACACGATTACGCAATGACAATCTTCCTGTCTCCCGCCAAATGGAGACCAGTTCGAACAAACTATTCAGTGTTCACCAGTATTAACAAACACTTACTTTTAAATCCTTTGTCTCTCGACTAGTCATTATTTAAGTAGTAGTGTTAAACCTATATGTATTTGAGTAATTGGGAAAGTTTCCAACAAACTAACTTTTATTGATGTATGATGTAGTGTTAAAAAGGTGGAACTTTAGTTGCAATTCAGTTCTTTCTTAAGAGTTATTTGTGGTTGATTTTAACTGAACAAACACGTTTATCTCGTTCAATTGTAAACAACTAGATTTATTTATAAAGTTATATTTGTAAAAATATAACTTTATAAATGTCTACTTCTCACTCAGCGCTTAATTATTTTGCAACTATCCGGTCAAATCTTGATCACAGTTCGTATGAATAGATTTATTTATCTCAACTTTTCACCCAGCATGATTGTGGCTATTCCTAACATTGTTGAATATCTCTGTCGCCCTCTAGCATCAAGTTTTGTCTATTTTGTATTTTAGGGTTCTGAACTCCAATTACCTTTCCAAGCGTGCCTGAAAGTTGAAAAGTTCGGAGATCTCATATTGAAGGCATCAGAACCACAGATGGTCCTATTTAATCTCTATGATGATTGGCTTAAATCTATCAGCTCCTATACGGCATTTTCTCGCTTGATTTTGATTTTGCGAGCTTTACATGTCAATAATGATAAAGCAAAGATTGTTCTCAAGCCTGATAAAACAACAATCACCGAACCTCATCACATCTGGCCGTCACTTAGTTCTGATGATTGGATTAAAGTAGAGTATCAATTAAAGGATCTTATTTTAGCAGACTATGGAAAGAAAAACAAGTAAGTTTATCTTAATAATTTATTGACCCCCAAAAAAGTTTGGTCGTGGAAACTATGTAAATGTTTTTTCTTCAGCGCCATGTAGCTTCATTCTTATTAAATCAGCGTAAAAACTTCGGGTTGTAAAATACCCAACGTCTCAAGACATAGTCATTATGTTTTTCAGTTTGGTAAACAACCAGATTTGTCGTACATTTTGTTAGCTTTTATTTTCTTGCGGGTTGCTTAAAGATGAGTTTTAAAGTTGTTTTATGCTAGTGATAAATACTGTGATTATAACTTTTTATCGTAAACCTTAGAAACCACCATGTCGCTTTGGAAATTGGCGATAGACCGATTTTTCGCAATAGAAGATCTAGGTCTCCTGTTCTCACCGTTAATAGGTTCTGATGATTCCATTTGTTTCTGGAGCCATTTTGGAATATGCTCTGAAGCTCTTACTTGCAGAGATCGATGAGTCCTCCCTATGTTTGTGTGTCCACACGTACATTCAAATTGGTAAAAGACTTTTTATGCAACTAATATCATAATATTAGAGAATGTAAAGCCATTATATCTATCTAAGCCCTTCGGACATGCGAAAAATGATGTCACATTCCACTGTATTTACCTATTTGAATGTACGTGTGGACACACATACATAGGGAGGACTCATCGATCTCTGCAAGTAAGAGCTTCAGAGCATATTCCAAAATGGCTCCAGAAACAAATGGAATCATCAGAACCTATTAACGGTGAGAACAGGAGACCTAGCTCTTCTATTGCGAAACATATTATAGAGACAGGTCATAAAATTGATGTAAACAGACCGATTTTTAGTAATTAAAAATGTCACTTAATATCTATGACTAAAATTATAGTATTTAGTCTGTACATTTTATGCTGTATCGTTTTCAAATGTAATGACTTTGACTGGTGAACTTCTGTGCAGTTCTATGGCAAATTGAATTTACTGTGATCAGAGTTTAACTTTCACTACCAGTAGATTACTTTTTTGCCAGTCTGCTACAGTATAAGCCAATAGTAATTATAACTAGCGGAGAGAGAAAATCCACAGTTGGTTAGTAAGCGAATTCACTTTGTGTGGTTTCACTAGACATTTCACACTTTTGCATATATGTTGAGTAAGTGTGTAACATGAGTGACGCCTATCTTGATGTGATTATTCATATAACTTTGAAATTACCGTTGCTTGGTTTTTTCAAAGTTACATTAAGAACAGTAATAACGTCGTTCATCAGAATTTTTCTTAATGGTTTTCCTTACATGTCCCGAAAACACTATAAGAACAACAGTTGGGAGACTTCAGTCTTCGAAGCACAACCAGAATTATAGAGAAAATGATTAGATCTAAGGGTGCACCGATAAATCATTATTATTCCTCCTAAACTTCGTCTACGATTCTTGTGTTAAATAACAGTTTCACTTTAATATTTCAGTGTTAATGTCGCCTCACTGACCCAATCAGAAATACGTGATATTATCTTGGGTATGGAAATTTCCGCCCCATCACAACAACGTCAACAAATAGCTGAAATTGAAAAACAAGCTAAAGAACAATCTCAACTTACAGCAACCACAACAAGAACTGTAAACAAACATGGGGATGAAATTATTTCAACCACAACATCAAACTATGAAACTCTTCATTTCAGTAGCAAAACAGAATGGCGTGTTCGTGCGATTTCCGCAACCAATTTGTACCTTCGAACGAACAATATATATGTCAGCTCAGATGATATTAAGGAAAACGGATACACATATATCTTACCCAAAAATATTTTGAAGAAGTTCATAACCATATCTGATCTACGTACACAGGTAACTTCGGTCGTAGTATTGTTATAATATCGAATTTGGTTTATGCAATAGTCGTATCATTAAAATTGCTCTTTCCTTTCACTTTGTTTAGATCGCTGGTTATTTATACGGTATTTCACCGGCAGACAATTCTCAAATAAAAGAAATTCGTTGTATTGTAATGCCGCCACAATGGGGTACTCATCAGACTGTTCATTTGCCTAATGGACTTCCACAAGACGAGTACCTAAAGGAAATGGAACCTCTTGGCTGGATTCACACACAACCGAACGAACTGCCACAACTTTCACCTCAGGTACTATTAATTTTTCACTTGAGGTTATTTTCTTTTTGACCTATGGTGCACCTAGTTGAGAAGCTACAAAAACAAATGAATGTAAAATGAGCGCGACTTTTCATTTACTGTCATTCTCTAAACTTAGCTATGTTGCAAAAATTCAGAAGTCGTTACCTTTTCGGGGGTGATTGTGAATCGTTTTTGAAAATTGCGTAGTTTTTTTTAAAAACCAACATAACTTTTTCATGAATATATCTCCGGTTACTTTCTTTATTCGATCATTTTTTTCCCCGGTGACCGTAGTATTTGTTACTGCCTTCACGTTAACAGTTTGTTGAGGTTAACCAGAACAACCCCTTTTAGGACGAAGTTAGAAGAATCTAAAGTCTCAGATAGATTTGTTTCTTATGACTTCTACTAAATCATGAATGTATGAATTTTCAAGAAGCGTGTTATCATATATATATATATATATATATATATATATATATATATATATATATATAATTGTTATTGTTCCCTTGAGTTCCGAGTGAAACGTGGGTCTTCAACAACACATCTCCACTTTGTTGTATTTTCTGCGGCCCCCTTTAGCTCGCCACACGATTTCCTCCATGTCACTCTCGGACGCCCCACAAGTCGTTTCTAATTTTGGTCCCACTCGAGGGCCTGGCGCTCGATGTCATTTACCTGCCTCCTCAGCATGTGTCCAATCCATCTCCATTTTCTGCATATTTGTTGAGCAATAGGTACTTGTAAAGTACAAGAGACATTGCGTAACTCAAGTTTTTTAAACGCCATATTTCACCAGTTTGGTTGTGCAAACTGGTGTGGTTGTGTATGTGCATTGCCTTGTCATTTTTATTAATTTTCCGAGATAAATGTCTATATATTTACGTTATCTTTCCTTGTGCAAAATTTTCACTGGTGTCATAATGTTTTCTTTTCACTCAGGATATCACCACTCATGCTAAGATCTTTTCCGACCAAGATGGAGAGAAAACCATTGTCATAACTTGTAGTTTTACTCCCGGTTCAGTTTCACTCTGTGCACATAAACTTACACCTGGTGGTTATGAATGGGGTCGCCAGAATACGGATAAAGGCAATAATCCAAAAGGTTATTTACCAAGTCACTATGAACGAGTACAAATGTTACTATCAGACAGATTTCTCGGATTCTTTATGGTACCACCACAGACTTCTTGGAATTACAACTTCATGGGTAAGTTTAGAATAAAAATCTCTAATGTATTTTGAAAAATCTTTTTTGATTTAATATATCTGATATTCAGTGTATTTAATAACGTTGTATTGTTCCATACACTCATTCGTGATAATAATGTTTTCTGTTATCATTTTTAGGTGTACGTCACGATCCTAACATGAAATATGAGCTACAACCCCTCAAACCGAAAAAGTTTTATCATCGCATTCATAGACCTTCACACTTTTTAAACTTTACTTCCATTGAAGAAAACGAATTATCTTCAACCGACCGAGATAACCCCTTGGCATAGTTGGATTTTATTGTCATATTTTTCAGTTCACCTGCTTTCTACTTTGTACATTAATCAGCGCGTTTCCTCCCATCTTACTTCATGTATTCAACTAACTCGTTTGTATTTTTACATAATTCATTTAGAATAAAACTTTATTCTACAGTAATGGAGTGGTTGGGCTCTGTACGATTTCTTGTTATATTATATGTATTCTAAGTATATCTGATAGTAAGAAGTGATATCACTGTGGTGAATGCCTTTAATGTCATAATGGTTTTTGACATGTATGTTACAGCCGCATACTTGAATTCACAGTGGTCGTCAGAGTGTTTCGAACCTGCAACGTATTTCGTCATTTCAGTCCTAAATCATCAGGTTATCCTCAACATGAGCTTAGCCGCATATTCTGTTAGAGTAACGTATTTTTCGTGTGTAAAAGTACATTCCACCACATACAACAATAATAATTCATATTTCTGGGTTGCCGATAATTATCCAGTCATCGCGTGTTACAAATGATGAACTAAGTGTCATCGGCTAAGAGACTATTGCATACTAATCACGGATGAATTTTGTAAGGAATGGTCCCTTGCTACTTTCTATATCGTGCAGTTGCTCTGAATGCAGCCATTACTCTCTAAAGATATAGATATTACCCGTGTTTCTTTTTAATTCAGACTCTTAACTCGTCTTATACGGTATGTTATATCTGTTTGCTATGACCAGTTGTCACACAACCTCTGTACTAGCATAAGCAGAATTTCCTAAAAGTAAAGTCGTGCTGTAAATACCTTTGGAATGTGTAGGCATCTGTTGATAACAATAAATAGCTGGGAATCGTTTTTTAAAGTAACTTACGAAGATGTATGCATTCTTTGCATTTGTGTAAATGACAGTGTCATCATTCCGTTCATCATAATATATTTTTCTGATTTTGAGAGGTGCGGCGTTGTAAAATAATGTGGTGTGATAAGAATTTTCAGTTTTGTCATTGTCACCGGTGTTTAGTCTGTGTGTTCTTTATGATTTTTCTCCAACCAAATAGTAAGTGGAGTCTTCAGGATTCCAAGTCATTTGAAGTTATAATCTCAGTCAGACCCGCATCAGTTGCTTCTGTATTTTGATCGGTTAAAGCTTTGGCAGTGCAGAAGGCTAATTTCTTTCAGAGGAGCTTTTACGAGTGGCCTAATTGTTTTTCTAACTGTTGATTAATCTGTTTGGTATGAAACAGTGCAAATTGACAAGAGTAATCAGTGCGATAGTAAGCAGCATAATAACTCAGTTCCTAATAAATGACGGATGACATGAGGCCTGTACAGTTAGATCATAATTAATTCATAGAGGCTCTTCTGTTTGTTGATTATGAGTAACTCCAGTGTACGAGCAAGTACCTATGTGTCTTATTCTGTGCACAAACTTCATTTGACAAGCGTTCACTCTGAATGTTGTATTAAAATGGAATGAAAAAGCACTTCAATAAATTGAAAAATGCATTTAGGAAATATGTTTGTCCATAAACTGGAGTTTATATGGAGCTTTGTATCTGATGCAGTAAGAAAAGTCTATCTAACCGCGAATATCAGGACTTATATAAGGTTTATAAATGGAGGATGGAACAGATCTGGTATGGATAGAACTCTAAAAGTACACTAAGAATCATTGGAAAGTTGGTTATATGCAAGCTGGACTACATTGACTCCGAGTTTAAAGATAGAGAGTGAAGTGGGAAGCTGCATCAGTCAGCCCCAACGGGTTGATCACTGACGAAATCTCTGCACAGATAGAGAAGGTCAGTTGGGCATACACCATCTCTGGCGTAGACGTGATATGTGGCTGTCTATCGACCAAAGAGCGTGTGTACTGCTCCGTCCTCCTTAATGGCTGTAAGATCTGGCCATTAAAAGTGGAAGACATGAAAATGGTGGCTAGCTGTCTTTGATCATAGGTGTATGCGTTCTATCTCCCTTGCTAGGGGGCATAACAGGACGAGCAATATTGAGGTGAGGCATCGATCGAGTGCTGAGTAGGCGTGGGGGGGTTGTTACGTATGCCCCGCTATCGATCGCCTTCCTTGACAGGTAATGGTAGGCGACATAGGATGGATCAGCTTGGAAAAGAGTTTGCTAGTGGTTGTCAGAGAGAAATATGGCTTCGTCAGTCAATGAAATCTGTAACAGTTAGTTTTAGCCACGTCGGAAGGTGTAGACTTCCTGGTTGGTGTCCTGGAGACGGTAAGAACCAATGACTGGAGACAATTGGTGATATGGCTCAATGGCTGGCGCAGATGCATGCACTCGTGATTTATGATAACCAATAAAGCCGTATTGTTCTTCCATGTAACTATTCTTTTTGCGTCATGTTTCTGTTTTGGATCTCTCTTTACTCCCTTCTGTTGCTTTGTGTGGTACGTGAAGTGTGTCAATTCGAACCACTTCACATTGGTGCAGATTTCTACGTTGAAATCAGCCAGTATATGCAATCTGATAAATTTCTTTCATTATTTCATAACTTGGATGACTGGTTATTTTGGATAACATTTATGGGATATCAGCTTCTCAGTTAGTGTTAGCAGTGAGATTTCTCGTTAATAAATATACCTTTCACTTCACTCGGTAGTAAAACGGAAAGAGCTCGAAAAATATCAGACTCTGTCTTTATAGGTAGATTGATGATATACCTATGAGAGTCCAGTTGCCTTTAGTTTATTTGGCATTTATTTCCCTTAGATAAGTAAACGGGGAGGAAGCATATTACTGACGACACTATTTTTGCACACTCCGTGTTGATACATCTAGGGTTCAAATTGTCACTCAAAGTAATATGCTTCCAGACGCAAATTAAGCCATCGTTTTAGTCTGCTATATCTAAGCGAATTTGTGCAAGACCGTATTAGCTCAGCAGTATTCAAGTTATAGAGACGGTAACTAATCAGTGATGTAACGAAGTGGAATAAAACGACGGTAACACGATTTTCTGCCCTTAGTCTTTCTGCTCCATTTGACCGCTAAGATATCACATGGTAAATGAATGCCTTGTGATTACAGAGATAACTTCATTTGACAAAGACATATATATGTATCTGATTACGTTATGTCAGTGATGAAATAACATTTTGATTGCACATTAAGCCTGTTGATTAATTACTTTTATTACAATCCAACGTATTTAGAATGAAGATCAAGTTCGGAAGACTTCAGTGTCAGAGAGATAACTCCTGTCATTCAGACATAAGAACCCATTGCATATTGATACTCACCTCTTTATTAATAGAAATCAAGGGGTCTATACTTGCATTAGAAGAGTTCAGCCCTGCTTCATTACACTTCTGATGCTTCTATACTACGTTTGAATGTCCTGTCAAGAGGTTGACAATCAATCAAATGAATTGGGAGAATTCTTGAACGGTTGCTTATTATAACTGACGACTGCATTATGAATTCCAAGCAACTGTAATTCCCATGGCGAATCATATATTCACTGATACCGTCATCTGCTTTGGAATGCACAAGCCAATACTTAGATTCTTTTCTATAGCTAGTACTATCGATCAAATGGTTATGTAATTAAGGATGCAGCCAGTCAGTATAGTTAATTAGAAATCGAGTAAGAACCCTAAAATTCAGAGCATTTTGATTAGGAGCCGATTAAATGAGAGCTGTCTCATGTATCTCATAACAAGTCGCTTGAAAATGATCTATTCCTCAGTATCTAGTCTATATTAAATAGGCTTATATCCAAATACTGACTTCCTAGAGTATGCTTCTTAATGTTAAGGAATAATTCCATGTTGGTGACATCTACTGCACCAACGCCAAAATGTAATAGCTAATTGCCTCTGAACTGGAGACGATTGAATAGTCGTGAACTGAGCTATCTCATCAAGTAAACAGAAGTTAAAGATTCTTTATCAGTGGAGCTATTTGTATTATTTGATTGTAATCATCAAATAACAATGAACGTTTATTTAATAAAGTAATTCAACTGTATTCCTTACTTAAATAGTAAAATAAATTGCGTTTAATTTTAGTTGGTGGTTAAGAACTGATGTTATTGTTATATGGATATCGAAAAGCCGTCCTGATTGTTTGTATGAATGTTTGCATGGGAAATCATTATGGAGCATGATAATACATTCACTCAAACTTTTATGTTGTACTTCTTAAACTACATAATGTGGATATGACTAAATCTTATTCCAAACGACAAGGAGTAAGAATAAAAGATGCCCCCTCTCCGAAACCGATGCATAGAGCGATGAGGAAAGATTTTTGAGCACAGATATATCTGATTTGTATTTGCTTTTAATGGCTAGGTCACGTGCTGCGCATGCCTAACCATCGCCTCCCCCGACGGGCATTACTAGCTGATATAAGTGCAGGTTGGGAAAGAGTAAGTGGTGGCCAAACAAAAACATGGCATCAATCCATGAAATCCTTGACAGTTAAACTGAGTCAGGTGGGGAGATCCAGACTTCCGGGTTAGGGCCCTCGGGACTCTAGGAGTCAATGGCTGGAGACAACAGGTGACATGGCTCAAAATCGTTGTCAATGGCGCAGATGTATTCAGTCTCTGTAATCTTTCATATTCCTTTCTATCATTACCCATTCTGTTTCACTCTTATACTTGTGAAACTCTATTGATTCTCTTCACTCATCTTCTCGTCTACCTTTGTGTGCCTATTCGGAACGTGGCAACTTGAACTGCTGCACTTCAGTGCCAAGTTCTATGTTGAATCCAGACAGCTTTTAATTAGTTTCGCAGTTGAAACTGTGCGATGCTAAAATTGGAGAATTGTACGTGTAACTGTCAACCTACAGTTTGGTGTTATCTTTCTGTATGTAGAGAGCGACAATGTATTTTAGTATTGAAGCCCACAAAATTCTAGGAAGGATATTTACTTTATCATTCAGCAATTTCTGTCGATATGTAACTAACCAAAAGTTCTAGTGATTAATGTAAAGTTCAACTAACGTTCTGCGTTCTTAGAATGGCGCAGTGGTAGACTGCTCGCCGACCAC